AGGGGAAATGGTTTGAGTTTAAGGGCTGTGAAGCCCCTTTCACACATACAGACCTTTCCGGAAAATTACCGGCAATTTTCCGGAAAGGTTGTATGTGTGAACAGGTCCTTTTTGAAAATACCGGTAAATTCGTTCTGGCTATTTTCCGGAAAGAGAAGTTGTAACATTACTGGTAATTAGCCGGAATGCTGCGCTGTGTGAACGCAGAAGGAAGATTGCCGTAATAAGCGCGTGCACGTCTAGAACGGGCTGACGTGAGATACCTGCTTTAGCCAATCACAACAGTCAGACGCATTCACGTGCGCGCGGTTTATGAGAATAAAAGCCTTTGAATATTTTTCCAGACACCTTTAGCTGCTAGATGTTAGTCAGATAATGTTTCTATGTTCCTTCTTAATGCTGTGTAAATAATTATCGATAAAATGTTTAGATAATCCGTTGTTTGTTTACCTTCAAGCTTTGCGTGTGCCCGTGAGCGCCAGCACACACACATATCACAAGACACCATCTTCTCAACGAGATCGCTGGGCTCCGGGGAACCCAGCTGTCCTGCGGGGACGCTCGCAGCTGGATATGTGATGGACGGGTGGGAGAAGTGGAGAGTCCTCTGTCTAGCTGCTCTGTCTCTGGAGGATATTGAAGATATCTACCTATTCGGAACTTTGATAACAGGGTTTCTGCTGATGGGCTTATGCGGGGCCCTGGGATATCGGAAACTGATAAAAGCGGTCAGCGCAGCTCAAAACCCCACTAGGCTGGCCGGCTTGATTGAAACACTGATAGGTAGGGTCGCGAATCAGACTATGGTCCTTGACCGAAAACTGGAAACCATCGAGGTGAAGCTAGCGGCTCTGCAACAAATTTTGGCCAGATCGGGAGACGAGTGATGGACATTAAATATCTGTGAAATTGGCAGATATTGACCTAAAGTGGAAGTATCTTACTGTCTTTTTTTTGGCTCTCCTCTTACTCCTGCCAGACGGCCTCGGCTGGAAGTAAACAACTCCCTGGGATAAGCAAGATAAGCGGACGCTCTGAAATTCCTGCCCCTGTCAAGGACACCTGCGGGACTCTGGACTATGCAGGCTCACACACACACAAACATATCTACAGATAAACATTCACCACCGATCCCCATCCAAACGCCTTCGTGTGCTTTTACCCACGTGGGGCGTGGGCGGGGCTGTGACTTGCGCCGGAAATGGCTGCTGGACCAGTTGGCTGCCCGCCGCAACGGACTGTTTTCCATTACCCCTGTTCCATCCCCTCTGTCTATGTTGTGTCTTGGCCGGGTGCTTATGCTCAGATAGGGCTGTTTTTCTCCCTTTTCTCACTTTGTCCTAATCAAGGGCAAGCTGAGGGGGTGTTTTTTAGCCTAACTGTCCAAATGTATCTTTCTTCGTTTCTAAATGCTACCTCCTAAGATCTGTCTCCCCTGAAAAGTTGTTTGTGATGTTTTGTGTATGGTCTGGGGGGTCCAATCTCGCTATACGAAAGTGTAGTGACAAATAAAGGCTTGATTGATTGATATCATGAACATCTCGACATGCGAAAGTGTTACCCTATGTTTTCATTAGAGTTGTACTCAATACTGATCCATCCGAAGAGTTTGTAATGTAGTCAAATGTTTACAAACACAAGCGCAGCCGTTTAGAGGTCATTTCTGGTTAATGATGTCACAATTTACCGGCATTTTGCGATGGATGTGTGAATGCTCTTTTCCGGAAAAATTCCGTAACGTCCTCGCCTGTGTGAACAGCGTTTTTTTTAATATACCAGTAAAGTAGTTCCGGAAATGTTCCGGATATTTACCGGTATCACTGTGTGAAAGGGGCTATCATTTGTAACCTTTCTTTTATGTTGCACAGAAATACTATAATAATAATAATAATAATAATAATAATACGCAATAAGAATTGACATTAAGAACCTGCACATGCAAAAAACGGTATGACTATAAATGTGTAGGACAAAAAAAACAGCATGGAGCTTTGCTGAATATTTATCAATTGTTAATCAAATTAAAAGACAACATTGGCACAAATTACAACTTGCTAGTAATAAAACACAGTTTGGTAACTAAACTAAAACAAATAAATATATTACAAAGTTCAACTTTGATAGTCTAGTCAGTCTACAGGGTAAAGGTCTGAAAACCTGAAAGGCTTAAGAGAATTCAGCATTTGAATTTGGCGTCAACAACATGAAAGCATGGATCCATCCTGCCTTGTATCAACGATTCAGGCTGGTGTTGGTGGTGTAATAGTGTGGGGGATATTTTCTTGAGTATTGTTGCTGACCATGCCTATTCCTTTATGACCACAGTGTCTCCATCTTCTGATAGCTACCTCTAGCAGGATAACACACCAAAAGCGTGAATCATCTCAAGACTGGTTTCTTAAACATGACGATGAGTTCACTGTACTCAAATCGCCAACACAGCCAGCAGATCTCAATCCAATAGAGCACCTTTGGCATGTGGTGGAACGGGAGATTGGCATCATGGATGTGCAGCTGACAAATCTGCAGCAACTGCGTGATGCTATCATGTTAATATGGAGCAAAATCTCTGAGGAATATTTCCAGTGACTTGTTGAATCCATGCCACGAAGGACTAAGGCATTTCTGAAGGCAACCGGTACTAAGGTGTACCTAATAATGTGACAGGCGCCGTTCACAAATAGGCTACACTTCGGTGGATATGCGCACTGACTAACAAAAACTTAATCGATTAAGTCAATAAAGTACAATAGACATGTAGACACATCTAAATAAATAAGATTTAAAACTAGACGTTTTGTATTTGCTACAGCTTTTTTGCTTTCAACATGAATAAAATAAAACGTAAGCGTCATTAGCTATGTTCCCAACCAAAAATGCTAAATAACTTGTGCGCTAAACTGGAATATCGCATAAAAGACGTGCGAATACAGCAGCATTTCCATATAACGAGTAATATTAACAGTAAAAGCGTAATTTGCTGCGATAAGAGAAGCTGCGCAAATCTTTTTTTTATTTAACAAATGAGCCTCAGAAGGAAATCCTGACACGCAGTGAATGCGCGGTGGCGTTTGAATGTGTAAGAGCCTACTCACACTATGCCATCCGTACCGTGCCCAGGCCCGTTTTCCGGATCGTTTGAGAAGTGTGAGTGCGCTGAATCGGGCTCAAGCATGGTTTAACTGGCCGGCCCTGGCCCGGTTGGAAGAGGTGTGCCTGAGCGCGGTTCACTTGGGCTTTGGCGCGGTACGCTTGTGTGTGAGTGCAAAACACGCCTGAGCCCGAAACTGAAAGCAAACGTGACTTTTAAGGGGTTGTTTCATATGGATTTATTATTCATTCTTACTGTTCAGTGAACGCAAACTGCCGTAGTTTGTTAAAGACGCAAACCCCTCACTTCACGACAGCTGCGCACCTTCAGCAGACCTCCCCATTCCTGCAGCACGAGGGCATTATGATTGTTTTTGAGCGCCAAAAGTGGCGGATCTGTTCGGCGAAATATCTGACTGCGTGTCACCGCATCCCTAAGGACTGTTTGGCGAAATATTTGACGGCATATCAAACGACTGAAACGATATAACTAGAGAAATCTCCACTGTGCTGCTGAGTGAGGGAGCGCTTCTCACTGAACAGCGCAGCAGCGATGACGTAAGCGTGCAGAGGCCCATTTGTGGTGTGAGTGCGGGCCGTCGGGGGAGACGGGAGGGGGGACAAGCGTGCTTTGGCCCGGTTTGAGGCAACTGTACCTAGTGTGAGTACTGCCTAGGAAGCAGAACACAGACACTCTTGATTCTGGAGGTCATTATTAATATAATAACACTAATACTGAAACGGTTAAGGCGTTTTAGAATGACCAAAACAACATTTCAGGTGTTTTACATTGTGCTCAGCCTCTTAGTTTGTTCATTCACACACATTTTTAATGTTGTTGCACGTCCGCCGGTTCCTGCCTCAAAATGAGCGAGTTTGAGCCACTTGTACATCCCGGAAGTGTTCAGGAAAAGCAAAACAGCAGCGAAGAAACTCGACACAGAGGAACATTAACACCTCACTGCCAACTAGCGTTTCAGAAGTGTTAATGCAGACCAACAGAGACAGCGCGCAGAAGTAAAAAATGCACAGCTACATGCGTTGCATGCGCCGTGGGTTACGCCGGTCACTTGACGCAGAAGTATAAACCAGGCTGAAGGCATCAAGTTGATGGTAAGCATTGGACAAGCTAGTGTGTTTGGTGAAGTGATGAGTTCAATTTGAGCGAATCTTTTGTATGACTCGAGAACGATGAGTCCTCTCAGTGAGTGATTCGTTTACATGCTGTTTTTTCTTTACATGCTGTCACGTGATGAATGAATAACCAGAAGATCCAAAACCAGAAGACCCAAAAGTGAACTAATCATGACATCCACATGTCATGAAGCTTGTTGGCCCAATTCAGCCTGTAGAATCAGCAGAGAGCGCTCTGACTGGTTACTTTACAACGAATCAAATCGCGAGAGTGGCGTAGTGGAAGGAGCACGAAGTGTAATTTCGCTACAATCCACAAAGTTTTGCAAACGATATGGATTATTAGATCATCAGACATATTTGCAGGAGTGAATCCCTCTATGGTGGGTGACTATTACTACAAACCCTGCTTTTTTACGCTTCGTCTGTACCCGTCAGACTCTTCAAAACAGTCTTACCGGCTCCTTCTCATTTCAGTTGGCTGTCGTCCATTTGAGGTGTTCACGGGCAGCTTTTTGGTCCAGGTAGGACCAGACTCTACTAGTTTGTTTTCGTCTGTTCCTAGTTGTTTGGCATGGGCTTGGCGTGTCCTGGCCTTAACAGTTTTTATAACAGCTATAAGACCCTCTGTTGTAAACAGAGTTATCATCACCTCACTAAGCTTTAAGTTGGTTTATTCTTTGAACTCTTTTGATGCCATACCTGATTTTCCATCAGAAAGTAGTCCTCTTCAAGATCTTCTTGTAAACTCAGAAGTGACGACTAGGAGACTCTGGTTTCTCGAAGCAGGATTTTTATTGAAAACTCACCACTACAGTCATCGAGAACGCTATATAGTGCAGTGTTGCTCTGTATTTTACACATTTTAGCGGGATGTGATAGATAGAGGTGGACACAAATCTTAAAGCATGCAAATGAAGTACAGGAGAGTCAGCCTGGTGACAGACTTCCCCAGACCTGAACTCATCAGCATAACGGTATCAATACGGTACCAGTATTGCCCCAAACTTCATAGACACAAAGGCCTGTTTACACTGTCAGGTCTTGATGACCAATTCCGATTTGCTGCCTATGTTTGATATCGTTGCCTGTTCGCTTACACGTTCTTTTAATTGTGACCCACATTCGATTTACGCGTTTACACTTGCCATACAATTTACGACATCGTGTATGCGTAAAGGTGGGTTCTAGCATCCACACTAGCCACAATGGAAGAAATTGTCTTGCTTTTAGCTCTGCGAAATATGCGAAGTTCGCCGAACTTTAAAATGATTTTGAGGCGGAGGAGGAGGGAAAGGGCCGTCATCGCAGCTTGTACCTATGGTTTATATATGGAGTCCTTCGCTAACTCATCTCCCCACAGGGCAAGAAGGCAGGTAGCTTCTGCTGTCGACCACTAACCACTATCCTCCTCCATGTTTCCTCTGTTGTTGTTTACCGCGTTGGCGTCTCCACACATGCTCTTCCTTCATTACATCATTACTACATCGTTAAACCACGGAGAAGTACCACACTGTCGCAAATTTAATGATGTACAAAACGGAATGCCTTAAATCCGATTTGCCTGTTTTTTGCCTGTTCCACATATGAAGAAGGCCTGAAACAGATCTCTGAATATCCGAATGTTTTTTTTTTTTCGTGTTTACACGGTCAGAGAACAGATCCGATCTGTGTCACATATGAGCCAAAAATCAGAATTGGGTCACATTTAACTGGCGGTGTAAATGGGGCCTAAGGCACAGCGTCCTTGAAATTAGCATTTGCATTACTTTGGGACCCTGCCCAATGGTAAATATTACTGTCTACAACTAGGAAGCCTGAACACACATACTCTGTATAACTTTGTCAGTTTATATTCCCAGATATTACACATTTATAATTCCACAGTCTGAAGGTAGGACTCAAAATGATGTATTGCTCTGATACTTTCCAAAATCCCTTCATAAATTTCAGTTGAAAGATTGGTCATCTTTGCACACGAGTATTAACCTCCACCTTCCTGACTCCTTCACTTTCAGCACTTTTCAAAACAACACCAGTGTTACCCATGAAAACTAATGTAATCTCCTTTAGTTAGTTTCCACGTGTGACACTCACCACACTTGTGTTGTATTTTGTTTTGTCGGGACCCTTTTTTCCACACTGTTGGCAGCTGAAAGATCTTTAACGTTTGAGATTTCTCATGTAGTACTAGAGGGAGTTTTTACTTTCCACATTGTCGGCAGGCAAAACGTTTCTCTTTTGAACTTGAAGGTTTGCTGCCTTCCGCACTTCTGCCAGATGTAAGGCTTCTCTCCAGTGGGAACTCTCAAGTGGACTTTTAGATGTCCACTTCGACTGAATCTGTTTCTACAATTTTCAGACCTGAAGAGAGAGAAGAAAAAAAAGTCAGCCCCAGTTTAAACGCAAAAACTTTAAGCCTGAAAAGTTTAAACATGTTATGTGTTGGATCTAATAAGCACTCAGCTGTTTTAAAGAGGTGCTGTAATCTCAGAATGCCTTGTTTTTAACTCGTCACTTTCTTTTATATTTGGTCATTCAAAAATGTGAAGGGTTTACATTCATTTGTGTATAATCTACTCTCCCCAAAACAAGTTTTTCTTATTAAATGAATTGTATATTTTTCAAAAAATTTACATCTTTTTTTTACAGAGAGGCAGGACAGGCCCTAACCAATTTGGCGCCCTAGGCAGGATTTAAAGTGGCGCCCCAGACAGGATTTAAAGTGGCGCCCCATCACATCACAGTAAATTCCACTGGTAGTGACATATATACTCATACGAACCTAAACAGATTTGTCTTGGACATTCTTTTCTTTAAATAAAGCAATTGCACATTCAAAACCTACAACCTACAGCATCTACAGCATCCAACCTACAGCATCTAAACACTGGGGTACCTCAAGGCTCTGTTTTTGGGCCACTTCTCTTCTCCATCTACACATCATCTCTAGGACCAGTCATCCAGAGACATGGATTCTCCTACCACTGCTATGCTGATGATACCCAGCTATACCTCTCTTCTCATCCTGATGATCCCTCGGTTCCAACTCGTATCTCAGCCTGCCTGTTGGATATTTCACACTGGATGAAAGATCATCATCTTCAGCTGAACCTCGCAAAAACGGAAATGCTTGTAGTTTCTGCCAACTCGACTCTACACCATAACTTTTCAATCCAGATGGATGGGGCAACCATTACTGCATCCAAAATGGTGAAAAGCCTTGGAGTAACGATTGATGACCAACTAAACTTCTCTGACCACATTTCTAGAACTGCTCGATCGTGCAGATTCGCACTCTATAACATCAGAAAGATCCGACCCTTCTTATCTGAACATGCAGCTCAACTCCTTGTTCAAGCTCTTGTTCTCTCCAAACTGGATTACTGCAACTCTCTACTAGCTGGGCTTCCAGCTAACTCTATCAAGCCTCTTCAACTGCTCCAGAATGCAGCAGCACGAGTTGTCTTCAATGAACCTAAACGAGCACATGTCACTCCGCTGCTAGTCCGTTTGCACTGGCTGCCAGTTGCTGCTCGCATCAATTCAAAGCTCTGATGTTTGCCTACAAAGTGACCTCTGGCTTTGCTTCTTATCTGCTCTCACTTCTGCAGATCTATGTGCCCTCCAGAAACTTCCGTTCTGTGAATGAACGTCGCCTGTGGTTCCATCCCAAAGAGGGAAGAAATCACTTTTGCGAACGCTCACGCCCAATCTGCCCAGTTGGTGGAATGAACTCCCTAACTGCATCAGAACAGCAGAGTCACTCGCTACTTTCAAGAAACGACTAAAAACTCAACTATTTAGTCTCCACTTCACTTCCTTATCTGCAATTGCCTCTTTGAATATCACACTAATTGTACAAAAAAATAAAATAAAAAAAATAAATAAATACTAATACTACTAATACTTCCCTTCTTAGACTTTACAGACCTGAAACTTGCCTATACCACTTATTCATTGTTGCTCTTAGTTGTGTAAATTGCTTCCTTGTCCTCATTTGTAAGTCGCTTTGGATAAAAGCGTCTGCTAAATGTAAATGTAAAATACTTAGAAAGAAGGATTTGCAACGGTGGGACTGAGAAACCTCAGCAGCACATCTGAGATTGCGATGATCGACGCACAGCTTTGATGGAAAGAAAGTAAATGTAGATGTTTTTCGATTCATTTCAACGTGCTTTCAAGCCAAAATAAAGCACAAGCACAATTCTCTTGAACAGCTCTTGCAATTACATCACATTTGAGATCGGTTTTAGGTTGACGGTACTTTTACTTTTCATATAAAGATTAAACATACAGGGGGGAAATACAGGAAAATACTTAAACGGAATGATAGCAGGCAAAAACGGGAAGGTTGCCAAATGTGTCATGCTAGTTGTAAAAGGCAGTTATCAATCATCGTTCAGATAGGGCAAAATAATAATATTTATCGTAACATTACCTCTGTCTTTCCTTGTCAAAATGTCCCAAACTGTCGAAAAGGACATGTTGACCTTGTTGACTCATAAACAAAATGACCAGGTAAAGTAAGTTTTTACTACTGCGAGCTGATTGGATGCAGTAAAGTAGCCATTTCATTCAGAAAGTTAGGAAAAAGGGTTTGGGGAAAGTTATTACAGCCTAAAGGCTCGTACACACCAGGACGCTTTTCGTTTGCGTTTATCGTCAGCATTTTTCAAGCAGTTTTTCCGGATTTAAACCCAAGCGATTTTCACTGGCGTCGAGCAGAAGAGTATGATGTTAGATGGTGCTACACAACTTCTGACAACCCGCTTGTAACACAGAAGAAGAAGACTCTTCTTCAATGTGCGCTCACATTGACAGTTTTGCGCTTGAGCGCCTCCAAGTGCTGTTTACTGTAACTTCAGCAGCTGCGTGCACGTGAACAAAAGTGCCAATAGGATTGGTGGAGAATGTTTTGACGCAGCACGTCAAAACAAAAAACAAGCATTAGGCGTTGTTTTTTTTTTTAAATGACTTTTTTTGCACCTGCCGTTTTGCGCATTGGTGTGCACAATCACGAGGCGTTAAACGTTGACGGAAAACGCAAGCAATAAAAATATCTCGATGTGCATGGCCCTTAATTATTCGGAATGGGGCGTGTCTTAGGCAAGTAGCGACTATATTATTATTATTACTACCATACCTGCCAACATTCGAGCCACAGGTATGACTACTAATACTACTTAGTATGCTTTGCTATGCATTTGAATAAATGTGGTCTTATTCTTTTCTGAAGTCGTAATATGTGCTAGTTTTAAGAATAGAGGAAGTTACACATTTTTTTTCCTCCCCCATTTCTGGATGTACAGCGCCCTTAGCATTTGCCTATACTTCCTATGCCACGGGCCGGCCCTGCGTGCTGGGTTTCTGCAATTAATGTTGCCATTTATATTAATTTAACAACTAACGAATGGTCAAAAATAGAATGAAATGAAAAAACTGAAAAAAATATATAAATATCTAAATATCAACTGTTGTGTTGCATTAGCGGTCTTAGATCTGACTTTGTAATATGGGCCATAATAACACATTCCTGTTAATTTTTTTATTATTTTTTTTTTAATTTTGGAAGGACTTATTTACATATGTTGTTTTAGCAACCAGATGAATTTAGACCTGTCCAGATTCATCTGGAATATGTCCCAGACCACCTCCTGAAGTGGCTTCACTTACCCGTCTTGAATGTGTTTAAGATGGTATTTACACCTGTACTTTTCACCATCAGACCACTATCCAACCAGAAAAAAAGCATGAAGTGACCAGGTGTAAACAGCTTCTTTAGGATTGGATAAACTAATATAAATATAAACTGAATCATACAGTATTATACTAAAAAGTGTCTTTTACAGTTCAGCTTTTCTTGATAAGTGTTATACGTGAAAACGTAAATCACCTGAAATGAGACTCTTTATACCCAATAATGTTAATAATGGTCCCCTAGAGCATGTATGTGAAGATATTCCAGAATATTCCAAACATATTCCAGAAATAACTTTTTATAACTCTTTGAAACTGCCAGAGGCTTTCATAAATATACCACTGCAAATTAATTCATTTAGTTCCCTATAGTCTTGTTCAAAAGCCCTTATAGTATTTTAAATATTTTAAATTCTGTATTTTCAATAAATTACTATAGTATTTTTCAGGTAAGTTTACTAATGCAAATTTGCAAAACAAACACTGAATAAATAGTCCTGCGTCGGGAATAATTTTTCTACAGTCATCTTTTAATCAAGCAAGTTTCTCATGTCAGCGCAATGTTTGATTGGCGACATCACGGAGCGGAGCGAGAGGTGGCAGTAACGCACCAAAACGTTTGTTGTCGACCACCGTAAAAGATGAAGAAGAAGAAATCGCCATTCTCGCCATAATTTTGGTTGCGTCTGAACCGCATACTTCCATACTATACAGTACGCTAAAATCAGTATGCAAGCCAAGTAGTATGTCCGAATTCGAAAATCAGTATTCGAGGAGTACACGGATGACTTACTACTTCCGGCGAGATTTTGAAGTGTGCATCACATGCAAGCTGCGCTATCCCATGATGCCCCGCGAGCGAATTCATGAATGGGAGCGAAGCAACTGACGCAGGTAGGTCAAGTGACCATGACAAAATGGCGGATGTAGTACGTCCGAATTCCATTCATACTTTTCACTTCATACTGTATAGAACATACTTTTCTAACGGCCGAGTGGTACGTTTAAATTCAAATGCTGTCCCTGCTGAGTAGTAGGCGGTTTTGGACTCAGCCATAGATTTACTTTCAATGGCCTCACAGCTCCGTGAATGGTGCTGGCGACACCTAATGATCCACGTTCGTTAAATGTAGCTTGTGTGGACGCTACTGTGCTATTTGTTTATAATAATAGCTTGTAGCTACTGAAAAGCGATTTGATTTCGAAACTAGCGACTCTACCGCCACGCTACTTGTGGCTAATTGTCACATTTTGGAGACTGTCGCTTTAAATTCAAATGAGATTGTGCTCCCAGACATATTTTAGAAAAGAGGGCGGAGCTACAAATGCCTGTGTGTCAGCGTAGTGGCTGATTCAAAAACAAGACTAACGTCTTATGCTAATGAGGGAGAGATCGTCCTAATAGGCGGGGCTTTAGCCAAGACATGTGCAAAGAGAGAATGTCAATCGCACAAGGTGTTTTTGTAGATTGTTTTTATGATGTGTGATTATAAAAAAAATTAAATATTAGGTTTTTACCATTAGAAAATGGTTATATTCAAAGACTGTTGCCACACAACCCTTTGCAAAAGTGATTTTTGCATTATAGCCAGTGTTGGGCAGTAGCGACAACAAGTAGTGACTGTACTAGCTTAACTACTTAACTAGCTTAAAACGTCAGGTCTAA